CAGATTCTTGATTAGCCTCGTTTCTACCAAGCGGTCCGGTTTGGTTCAGTCCAGTTCGGTACGGTAAACCCTGAACTTCCTTGCATTTCCACAGCCAACCGTACCCTTATTTGGTAAGCGGAGTGTAAGCCAGATGGAGATAGTCAAGTCAGCGATGTAATAGTGTGACATCATAGCAGCCCAACACAGTGTAGCCCGCTATTATTTAAGTTAAACGTTCAAGAAGAACAGGACAAAGTAAAGAAAATTGACCATTTAGGGTCGGATCGGAATCCTTGGCACCCCAACAGAAGAGTACCAAAAAAGTTGGACGGTACAAATCCCTTTATTTTGGTACCAATCCCAACTTTTTTTTTTTTTTTTTTTACTTATATTTAATTTGGCTTTCGTGCTGAGGTTACATTAAAATATACACAGAATACAAACAATGGTGTCAGTTAACAATAGTAAATTTAGCCTCTTTCTAAATAGACCATTATCTTCAGGCTTTGAGATGGGTGTTAAAGTCAATCCACTTTTTCCATTTTCCTTGGCATGCAGATTGTTGTGGTCTTAAATTGAGTACCATTCCCAACTTTTGACGGTGGAAACCCAATGAATGGGTACCGTACAGAACTGAACTGAACTGGACCGCTTTGTGGAAACAGGACTGTTGATCCAGCTTATTGAAAACACAAATCAGTTTTTAAAACAAAGAAATGTCTTAACTTTTTGGGATGCGTTTCAAACGAGGGGCAACCGCTGGTCACTTGTTGTATTTAATTGAGCTCCACAAGATTTATTTACCTAACAATATAGGACCACCGTTTTCTTTAAATTCATGATTACGAGCCAGTCAGGGAGAAAAGATGTCAAAGAGTGGCGCCCCCAGCTTTGTTCGTCCAGCATGTTTTTATCAGAGAAGAGGTCATTTGAGAGAATTTTCAATGAAGTCAGATTGTGCAATGTGTAATGACGGTGCATGCCTCTGCACAGGTATAAAGGATGCAGCCAAAGTGCACCCTATACACCAGACTTTGCGCTGTATTACAACATTTTCTCTTTTGCCACAAACATGCTGAGGAATTTCCACATTCGCAACTTTCTTCTGTAACTCGAGCTGGATTTTTAGCCACTTTTTCTCTAAAGAATGAATGTTTTGACCACAGAAAATTCACTTTTAATAAAGTAAATGTCGCCTGAATTGTTTGAAAGTTTTTATTCGATAGTGTTTTTTCAGTTTTTTCTTACAATATCAAATTCAATCTTTCTTCAAAAAGATTTTAACTGCCATTAAACGAAGCAATATAAGAAGTGAACAGAGCGACCTTTTAAGCCTCCTGCTGAATGTGGTACCAAGACATCAAGACTTTTGGTGGATAATTCCGTTTAAGTTTCAGGTTTTTTTTGTCAGTTTAAAGAGAAGAAAGCGGTGCAGAATTAAAACAAAGTAAGTTGCCTTAAACATCCAAGAACTTCCAATCTGCCTTAGATATGTGTAAAGTGACATTCAGCCTTCAGCAGACATGTGGCTTTCTTTGGCATTCTCCAAAAGTGTGTGTGTGTGTGTGTCTTTGTGTGTGTGTGTGTGTGTGTGTGTGTGTGTGTGTGTGTGTGTGTGTGTGTGTGTGTGTGTGTGTGTGTGTGCATGTGTGTGTGTGTGTGCATGCAGATTGAAGCAGTAAAGAAAGGATGGCTTGAGATGACTGCTAATAGTTCACAGATGAAAGAGACAGAGCGGAAATTCAAAGGTAGCCAAGCAACAGGGGAATGCACACATGCACATTTTGCCCTCTTCCTCTTCCTCTCCTTTCGCCTCTCCTTTGGCTTTTCGACCCTCCCATACACACACACACACACACACACACCCACACACACACACACACACACACACACACACACACACCCACACACACACACACACCCGGCGCATACAGGACTCCATCATCATTAACCAGAGCAGAGGAACACAATGTTAAGCTCCTCTCCGCGGTCTCGTCCACTGGGTCAGGGCTAAAATAGAAACCTGGCCGCAGACTCAGACGATGGCACCGAGAAAAGGAATGAAAGGAGGAGAGGAGAGAGAGACAGAAAACAGACTAAGACAGAAGAGGAGGAGGAGGAGGAGGAGGAGGAAGAGAGGTAGGTAGTTTGGAGGAAATCTGTGTTCCTCAAAAAGAACCCTTGCATGATGTTGGAGTGTGAGAATGGGGCGTGTTGGGCCGCGTACTTGCCCCCAGACTGCTGCAGAAGTTGTTGGTATTTTAATGGGCCTCTGTCTCTATAAAGCTGCCTTTGATCATGCTCTCAGGCTGCACGTGGAGGTCGACTACACCGGAAACAGACACCTGGCCACACTCTAGTCTAAAGCATGCCTGTCTTGTCTGTCTGCTTGGTGTCTCTGGCTGCACAGCACAATGCAAGTCCATAAGGACGATTTTTTGTTTTGGGATCAGCACTCTTCGGCTTTGGAATTTAAATCTGAGCCCAAATGTCTGTCAGATAAAAGTGCAGATTTCAGCCTTGATTTAAGGGTGATAACATCCACATCTGATAAACAGAAGAGAAATTAAAACCCTTTTCATGTCGCATTCTGAGGGGGGATTTCACTACTTATCCTGCATCATTCACCAAACTCCTCCATTTCTAAAAGCAGAATGTGTTCCAAACATGAGACTTAGGATGGGACAAAATATTGACTCATGTGATACCATTATCCAATCACTGCGACGGAGCGCTTAAAGGAAGAATGTGTGACTTTGTGATCCAGTAGATGTCGCCCTTGAGCACCAGCATGAAACCAAAACAAACTGCTGCGTGGCCACACCTCCTCCGCTCTCCTCCAGAGACACACCTCCAACCCCCTCCACTCACGTTTGCAAGAAGGAGTTATGAAATTGGAACGCAACATAATTAATCACAAAGCACTAAGCGCAAGCAGTGGACTAAATTGTCCTTGTCTCAAGCTGCTGTTGTGTTAGCGTGCTAATGTTAGCGCTCCTTAGTTAGCTTGTAGCTTCACATTGCATGTACATTTACTTGGAATGACCGTGACCTTAAAACGCTAACATCACTCAAATCATCAGTGAGTATGTTCTTCTTCTTCTCTCTAGTCCTCGACTAAAACAGATTTTATACACAAGGGAGGAGCCGGCCGTCCCGTCCACGTAAACACAGCTGTGACAACAACACAGCCAGCGGGACTCGAGCTTCTCACTCATTGTAGACAGTCATGACTCAGAGACATTTATGCAGGATATACTTGATTTCTGCTGGATTTCTGTGACAGAGGCTGTCAAAGGCTTGACTCAACGCGTCACTACTTCTTGTCGTTGATGACTTGAGTGAGGGCAACACGAAGGGACGTTAATTGGACGAAGTAAAAATGACAGAGATAAAAGAGGAAGAAGAAGACAGCAGGATAATGTTGAGTTTGGCCTCCACCAATCAGAGATGTTGCTCTTTTCCCTGAGATTGCGATTAAACCACAAGGTTGATATCATACAAACTTGTGTCTCCTACAGGAGCGGAAAAAGTCTCAATGATGACATGCCAATGTTGCCGTTATGTTTTGGTGTTTATTTGTCTGTTAATTGGTTTCCATTAGTTCAGAGATGAATGGATGCTTCGTAAGTCAGACAAATATCACATTTCCAGACTCATAAATTGTGATGTAAGGTACGCGCTCAGACACAGTACACAGTGAGACTTGAATGGTTGGGAAACCTACTGATCTGTTGTACATAAACAGAGTATCTAATCTATTAAAAAGTATGCATAAACTATATATATATAACACTTATGTTGGGCTGCACAGACAGACAGACGTGTCTCAGTGCTGACTGGTCACTTGACGCTCCATCACCTCACCCCCTCGGAGGGGGGATGATGTCGGCGTTGGAGCAGAATTATTCTGAGCCAGAGTTTGGCCTGGCCCGGCTGATTGTGCCGTTTCATGTGAACTCCAAATGGAGCTCATAAAGTTGCCACTCTACAAGGCGTGGCCCCCTGTGGGACATCTGATATTACTGCATACGTGTGTGTGAGAACTAGTGTGCGAGCAGGTGGGGGGTATGTATACATACAGTACACCCGACTCTTGTTTGTGTGCGCCTACATTTTTGCTGATGTGTGTTTATGCGCGCACATGCACGTGCTCCCGTGCACGCTCGGGCCATAATCAGCTCCAGATGATTTTGAGTGTCTGCCAGCTTCCCAGAATAGCTGCGCTGGTCTCCTTGCAGCCCTCCAACTGGCCTTGGCAAATATTTTAGCAACTCCATGTTTACCTTCACACTCCTCCACTCTCACTCAGTCAGAGTGTCCCTCGTTGCCTGCCCCTCTCCATCCAAAAGAATCTGCTTTTTCATCGTTTACCCCGGCTGGTCAGGAGCACATAAGCCTGATAAATAAAGCTCATAGATGGCACAAAGTCAGCAGAGTACTGGTTGCACGTGGATGCCTGAGTGAAGCTCCCCTGCTCTGATCTTTATACATTAATAATCGTCTTTCACAAGGCCAGCAGCTGCATCATTTGAAGTGTTTATCTCTGATAGATTCTGCTCATAAAATCTCTGTGACAGTTCCAGACAGCAGGGCATTCCTCTCCATGATCGATGAGATGTTTGTCTTATTAGAGTTCTGCTGAGGCACGACTTGGCCTCCTGACAAGCATCCAAACTCTGAACGGCAACAGAGAGACACTCTTATTATAATACACACATGCACGTAGAAGGTGGTGTTGATAAAGCTGTGTCAGGGTAATTCCTCACCTTGGAAACTCTAATCTGTTTTCACAATGTGCCTCAAAGTGATAAGTCCTCGGCTGCGTTCCAGCCTTTTCCCCTCTCGAAAACTAAAGATGGAAGTCGGGGCTGGCTGAGTGATGTTCATATGTGCCCCGCTGGTGCCACCTGCAATCCCTCTCCCTGAAGGCTGCGCCCGTTAATCTGCACATAGTGTTTAGCAAAAGCAAGTAAGCAGCGTAACTCATTTCACTTTCTCTGCCTTCTGTTTTGCAGTGCCGTCCATCCAAAGGAAGGAGGCGGGGCTACTGCTGGTGCGTGGACAAATACGGCCAACCTCTCCCCGGGTACGACGGCAGGGAGCGAGGCGAGACGCATTGCTACAACCTGGAGAGCAAATGAGAGGACAGAGGGACGACTCGGAGGAGGGTGGGGGAGGCAGAGAGAGAGAGAGAAAGAAAGAGAGCCTACTTTGCTCTTGCATGTAGTTTTGTGTTAACATTTGAAGGGGCTCTGGACCTTTGATTTCAGGTCCCATTTCTGTCAGAAAGTACGAGAGAGAACAAGGGGGAGGGGAAGGGAGGGAGTGGAGGAAGGCCTCATCGACAGGCCGAGCCTCCTGTCCATCACAGTTATCTGTCCCGTGCTTTGGGAACCTCTATCCTTTCTTTTAAAAAAAACAAAACAAATAAGCTGAGAGAGAAGGGGAAGAAAGAGAGAAACCAACCATCTGCACTATTCTTTTAGAGAGAGGAAAGAGGGACTTTTCCACTCACTTTAAAGAGGACTTGTTTGTGACTGTGACCCGAAGAAAAAAAAAAAAAGCGCACCACCACCGTTTCTTTTGTGTGTGTCTGTCTGTGAGTCAGTGTGTGTGTGTGTGTGTGTGTGTGTGTGTGTGTGTGTGTCTTAATGTGCGAGCACCTGCATAACATACGTGTGCACAGCTGCATGTCTGTGTGAGATGGCATGCAAGATGGTGTGCGCTTTCCCAAAAGTGTTTATTTGTGTAAATACTGTTTGTCACTAAGCTCAGTGTAGAGACGTCCGATTGCCCCTCCCCGGCCCTGCTCCATTAAACAATGCAGAAAAATAAACACTCTACGGCTCAGGATCCATTTTGAAGTGAAGGATTATGGGATAGCAGGGCTTTGACTTCTTAACCAGGGCCATTTGTGCTGCCTCCCTCGCCCTGCGCTTGGGGAGGGAGTGGAGGCAAACCATGCAGTTACAGTGCCTTAGAAACAGACCTGTCCACGCCTCCCCTCCACCTTTTCATCATCCTGAACATCCACCCTTTTTCCATGGGAAATACTCATCCACAGCGGGCTTCAATGGCTCTAGCTGACACTTTCTTTGAAGAAATCAGCTGCATGTAGCTTGGGCAGTAGATCTGAAGGGTGTCCCCTTCGGAACCACAACTTCTTAAACCACTGTTTCAGCACCTGCGTCAGCTGAATACTTCAAGGTGTGCAAGAGTGTGAAGTGGAAGGCATGAATTTGATTATCTTGACAACACCATAATAGAATTTGAAGTCGGTTAGGTTAACAAATGTGCCAAAATATTAGCTTGCTTCCAAAACTCTGATGTTTTGCACGGTTCAAAAGTCTTCTTTCAAGCTCATTGAGGGTCATGCTTCTGTGCAAGACTCAGACGAATTAAAACCAGTTAAGAAGAGTTTGACGCAGCTTCACAGCCTGCATCTTTATGAGTAACACCGTGTCCTAACAGCACAAGAGCGATATAATTTATATATATATCGCAGCGCATCGTGCATGATCGCACGCTTGCTGTCCACACTGCATCTGTTAAACATTGAATTCTCCTGCTCTGTGAATTTCAGTATCCTCCCTTGCAAAGAGAATGACATCTAGTGCTTTTGTAAGCTACTGAAGGTGAACGAGCTAAAGTGTGTTGCTTTGTGTTTACGAGCTGTTGACTCAAATCACAACACAAAGGCTCGTCAATAAACGACAGCGTTGCAGGCTGCTTCGCTGGGTAGTGAAACATCAAAAATAAGTCTTTACTTTCAGTGTAATAAACAGACTTTGGCATCAGATTCAAAACTTCAAAACGTCCTCTTTGTATCACACTGACTTGATTTAGATGATCCACATTAGCAGTGGCCGTATCAGTCTGTTATGGAAATGCCTCCAATGTGCTGAAGCCCTCCTTAAGTTGGATAAAAGTTGACATTTAGTCTAATTGGAGAGATGCCTGATGGAAATCTGTCCGAAGAAGAGGAAGAGAACCAGACCAGAATGTTTCAAACACTCAAATAGTAGAGAGGTGGAGTATGCTGCAGCAGTGGTTTAAGAAGTTCAACAATTATTGATTGCCAATTTAGTTTTGCTTTTGTTTAATTGACATGGAACTGAGCATATTGGACTTTAAAAAATGGAGCTAATTTACATCCACAGTCCAGTTGAATCAACTCTGAACTGCTGTCTGAGCTAACTTCAGCTGCTGGTCTCAATGAAAGAGGAGGTTAGACGCTTTTCTAGGCCAGTTTAGAGCTAACGAGGGTGAGTATTTAATACAGGATAGTTAGATCTTCTGGAGAGTAGTGTTTTGAGATGCTCACATGCGATCTTAAATGTTCGGTTTAGTTAGATCAGCTGCCTTCGGCTCCTGTCCCTCTGAAGCTCTAACTTGCTCTCCTTGTCCTTGCCCTCTATTTGTCCTTTCTGTTGAGTTCCTCCTCCTCTCCTACACGTCCTTATCGTCCGTTTAACACTCTGTCCATGTCTGCCGTTTATGTTTGTCGTGCCTGATCCCGTCTACGTCTCCAACCTCACTAACCCTCTCTTGTTAATCCTCGCTCCAGCACCCGGTCCTCTTCCTGTCAGGGGTGCGACCTGGTGTAGGCTTGTTTGAACGGGGCGGTACAGCCCGGTGTGACCGGCCCCGCCCTGCCGCAGGTGCCAGCTGCCCCTTATTGCTTCAAGCACTTAAAGCACTTTAGCTGCGCCGCCACTCGTCAATGCATGCAGTTAAAGACAATTGGACCTATCTGCATCTGCATACCTTTCCTCGGAGGTAACGCCAGATGAATCAGTGTGATACTGTAAGAAAACAATAATAAACTAGTGAGAGAGAGAGAGAGAGAGAGAGAGAGAGAAAAAAGAAAGCTACACCAGGACTTCTGACAGCAAAGTGAGCGAACACCCCTCAGAAATTTTCCATTCAATGCAACTATTTTCTTTTTTTTTTGTTGTTGTTTTTGTTTCTTTGAAAAATGCTTGTATGATCGTATGCCAACAAAATCTCCACGAGGTGGACACAGCACCAAATATGCATTCACACAAGTGGTAGGGGGTCCGAGGGAGGAGGCAGCTTCCTGCCCCGATGCTCTCCAACATCCTGTGTAAAGACTTGAACAGTGGAGAGAGTGCCGACTAAGAATGCTTGCCCAGTAGCTCGGTAGCATGAAATCGGCTGTACACTTCCTTTGATAGACAGCAGCAACTTACAACCAGCCTGTTGGTGCTACATCCCACCTACTCAAAGACTTGATGTAAAGGGAGGAACATACACACAAATATGTTTAAGCTATTCCCTCCTGAATATTTGTAAGTGTGTCTTTTTATATATATATATATTATTGTTATTATTTCCTGGCCAGCTATGTGTCTGACTAGACATCATGTACAGTACTTAAAAAATGAAAATTATTTATCTAAGAAAGAATTATAAGCTGATCCAAACTAGGTTTTCTTATGAACAATTCAGTGACTCACCGATTGCACAGCAAAGTCTCTATGATTCAGTGTATTTTGGGGAATATAATCACTAATGAATGTTTGATTTTTTTAATGAATCTGTTCCTTCTGTTGCTCAGCAGTGTCAGTTTTAAAGCTCAGCGCCCTGCACGCCAGTTTCAGCCTCAGGGGGCAAAAAAAACAAAAAACAATCTGTGTCAGTCAGTCACTCAGGTCTCTGGTCATCTTAGTTCACTGCTCCATAAGGCCGGAGAACCTCTCAGTCGGTCACTTCTCCCCCATGCACACCGCGCCATCCCGCATCAGTCTGTCAGTGCACAGTCACACTTTCTAATGTCACTTTTTTTTTTTTTAATTTTGGATTTTCCCCTGCTGGTCACGATAAGAATCTCTCTGTTCACGGGTAAAATGTATTTTTGTTTTTTCTTCTCAAGTTATCCTTCAAAGAGTTTTTTTTTTGATTCATGATACTAAACTAGAAATCACACAGCTATTATTTTCTCTGCGGAAGGAAGTGATATTGATTCAAAGTATAATTTGTATTTAATGTCTTTTTTTTTTTTAAATAAAAGTGAACACATTTTAAAGACTTCAGTCTCATGTGCTTTTTTCATTGTGTTGTCAGCAGCAGCTCATGCAGCGATCTATCCGCTCACTGTCATTTCTGCAGCCAATCAGGACACAGATTTGCTCCTGTTGAAGGCCTTGAATGCAATCAGGCTCCCCTCAGTCTTGGAATGTGTCAATAAGGATAAAGCAAAGGTTCAATTTGTGAAAAGAATAAAAATAAATCTGGTGGTGCCAGGCAGGCTGGCAGTGGGCACGAGAGGTTGAAGCGAATTCCTGAGCCCCGACCAAGGCAAACAGAGAGCGGGTCAAAAGGCAGCGCAGAGCTCTGGTCCTAAAGTTAGACCAGGACCTCCACTTTAGATCACCGTGATAACACTGCTCACAAACACGCCCAATATAGCACAATGTGGTCCAGGAGTGCATCTACACACACACTTTCATAATCCCGTCCTGATGAAGCTGTTATGATCTATATGTTTCACCACCTATTGATGTTTGTTCACCGATTAAACACGCCTTGAGGTGACAGAGAGGCCACGAGCGCATAGCTGAGGTTAATGTTTTTATTAAATATATCACCTTTTTTTTCTTACATTACATCTCAATTACAAAAGTGTACATACACACGAGTGAGCAGTTAGTCACTTTGGAATAGACTCACATAATAAACAACATTTTCTCTCCAACAGCAGCATGTGGATGGAGGCGAGCTGCAGGGTTCACTGCGGGACTCGCTCGTTGTGGTCATGTGTTCTTGGTCAGAGAGAACAGCAACACAAAGTAAAATAGCGAGTCTTTTTTTTCGACACATACACGACTGACAACATAAATATCGGAGGTAGGTTAATGTAGAAATACCCGTCTGAAAGGCGGTGCCAGAGCAATGCACCGGCCTGTCGTTCTATCTGCAACCCCATGGAATCATGGGAAATGTTTTCTGAGACTGTTTGAGGGATCCCCGACTGAGAGTTTTGCATTCTGAACATGTGTCACATCAGTATAAAAAAAAGACAATAACAAAAAAAAAAAAATAGACATAAAAATGGCAGCAATGTGAAAATAAATCATAAAAAAACAACATTTAGAAATCATTCTAAATGACATTTGGTCACTCAGTGCTTTTTGTTCTTGCTTGGTTTCGTCACAAACCAAACGTCCAGACAACTCCTTTAAGGGTAGAGCGAGCTCAACTCAGCGGCGGAGTTACTCAGGGCCAAGATACATATATATACACTTTATACAGCCATAAAAATATTAATAATATAATAACAATAAGGCAAAAAAAAAGATATAAATACTCATGAAATAATTAAAAAATAAAAAATAAAATGGAAATAAATAAGGCTGAAGAGTAGAAGTAAATGCATCAATATCAAAAAATCTCCTTTCAGAAAACAAAAATAGACTTTTTTTTTTTATCTCTTTGGGACGGGTGTTTGAAGAGGAGGGACGCGGGTTCAGGGTGGTCAGGACCTTCAGTCCCTTAATGACAGTGTACCTGAATTAAACACCACCATGGAAGAGATCAATAAATAAAAAAAGGTAAATCAGTGGCTTGCTTGTTCTTGTTCTTGTTCTTGTTCTTCTTGGTGTGAGATCTGCATCAGTGGTTGATCTCTTCTTAAGGACACTCGGCGTCTGCAGGCAGGTCGGTCGAACCTAAAATCTTCTTTCCGTTCCAGGAGTTCACACACCAACATCGACCCCTTTGACCATCCAGAGAGGATTCACACTGCAGAGGAACACACACACGTACACATTAATCATTTAACTGTTTTCATTGTCATTTACTGTGTCACACAGGCACATGCACGGTCTTTCAAATGATTGACATCACACCAGAAACAAAAACACACTCCCTTCCTCACCCACACACACAATCATTTTAAAGCTATGGTTGACACAATCTTGGCTAAAACCTCTCACACACACAAAGGTGAGATTCCTTTATGCCGAGTGAAATCCACCCCAAACACACACACACACACACACACACACACACTCATCAACATTTAGCTGGAGACACCCACCTGTTTGGGTTTATAGAGCCCGTTTTTGTCACAGTTGGGGAGGTAGAATCTGGTTAATCTGTCTCCTAATTTCTGCTGGGATTTGGCGATTTTAGCCAACGCCGTCTGCAGCTCAATGTGACAAGGCCCCTGTGAAAAAAAAGAGGAGAGGTTAATTAATGATCAGCAAGCACGAATAGAACTGCAAATAAAACGTGTATAACAAGCATCCCCATCCTTTCTTTTCTCTCTACGTTATCGCTTCAAACAGCACACGAGCGCCCCCTTGCGGCAAACCCTCTCTCGAGACCTCCCCAAAAACTTTTAGTAACATAGCACACACTAGAGGATCTATCAGCAAATACAAAGACTGCTCTTGTTTCTCACCTGCTCGATCAGCTTTTTGCGGTTGGCGGTTTGTTTGGCTTTCATGCTGTCCTGAGCGTCCGCAGCAGCCCTCGGGTCGTAGGGCTTACTGTGGCCGGGCAGGTAGTGGCTGGAGCCGAGGTCCGAGATGATGGCTGCGTTCTCCATCTCCGGCTCTGGCTCTGGCTCTGGCTCTCCCTGATCTGGAGGAGGAAAATGAATGAATGTGAAGCAGGACTGCCTTAATGTAACAGTGAAATGCCTCACAAAAGACCCTTTAAGTAATTTGTTGGGGGGGATGCAATGAAGAAGATTTGCTGGATGTAAAAGAAAGATGTATAAAATGTGGAGGTTATAGGCCTACCTTGCGTCTGGGGCTCGGGGGTTGCCTCGGGCTCTGCGCTTTCTGTGCACACGGCTTGTCCCCGGGTGAGGGAGTGCAGCGGCCGGGGGTCGCCGGGTCTCGGGGTGCACCTCAGTCCGGAGCCGCATGGCGCCGTGTAGATCCCGCAAAGCTCCCCAGCAGTCAGAGCGCAGGCGAGGCAGCATCCACAGCCGGGCTCCGGCAGCACCTCGGCGCATCCGGGCGCCACCGCTGGACACTGGCTCAGCTTCTCCTGAGTACACGGGGCACATCGGATCGGCTCTGGCCCCACCACCGGGGACCCTGACGTGCCGGTGGCCAGCAAGGAGCACAACGTTGCTGCCACCACGACGTGCTGCAAATATAATCCACCCATGGCCAACATTGCGAGCTAGATACTAAAGAGAGAATATAAAATGTGGAGCAAGGTAGAGATAAGAGTCAAAGGTAAACGCCAGATTCCGGTTCTTGCTCAGTTGTCTCTCAGTTGTCTCTTTCGTTTGATTTGGGAAAAATGTCTAACTGTGCGCTGCGCGCAGCCGTATTTATAGCCGGCTCCTCTGTGAGTGTTTGACGCATCGGCGTTATGAATGATTTCTGAAAAGAAGGTGTGATGATACGATGGGCTGTGATTGGTCCGCCTATGCCCGGTCAGGCAGCTCATTTGAATTCAACAATCACGTCCATATTTATTTTGGAACAAGCAGTGCTGCCTGCACGTATTGCGGACCAGTGACGACACTGGTGTTTGATGTTGCAATCAAGGACATCCCCCTTCCCCTTTCTCACCCTCGTGCTACACTAAACTACTTTAGCGCACATTGCCGGCTTACAGTAACAACACGGAGGCTGAGTTTGATTCTCTGTGATTGTTTTCAGAACTTGTAATTAGAAGAAGTTCACACAGCGGCCCTCTGGAGCTGATTTAATCGATTTCACAACCGAATCCCTTCCTTGTTTTCGAGTCCGGCTCAAATGAGCAGCTCTATTTTGGGACAGTGTTTGTCATTCATGAGTGCTTTCTATTAATTGTCCTCTCCAAACTTCTTACACAACTTTATGAAACTCTCACATAATGAGCGCACAATTACGCACGCCCACGCTGCGCGCACAGAGCGTGGGCGCGCTAAGAGAAAAACCAGAAGCTCTGACATGACACGAGAAAGCATTCGTGCGTCGCAGAGGGATAATAAACGCGAGTTTCAGAAATAGCTGCGCAAATGAGGGTCACCGTCTACGCCTGTGTGAGTCAGGGGGCTCGGGACGCTGTGGTATGTGGTCCCTCTGTGTCCCAAAGCGCGCGCGCACTGAAGCCGACTTTGGGCTCAGTCCAGGAGATGTCCCGTCCACGTTTCCTGGGACAATCATAGAACACAGCTTTGAACAGGGGCTGCGCTGACATGGCCACAGACACGTCCCGAGTCACACATGAACACACAACAATGAAAACAACTGCATGAAACGAGACTCGTGGTTCCCTCAGAAAGTTTAAAGCTGGATAAATTGTGTATGCCAGAGTCTTGAGGTACATCGGGGTCTTTCTGGCAGAACACTATAGTGGAGGTTTTGATGCTCTCTCAATACACAACACCGTTGTATATGGTGCGTGTTGCAAAGCATTTGGTGTCCTGCAATGCTGAGCCACACTTGCACGTGGTAAAACCCGTTCTTTTGCAAAACCACACAGGAAAAACTAGAGAGCTATCTTGACATGAAAATATATAACGAGACAATAAACAATAACAGTAATGTTGCAACCAGCACAGTCTAATGAATTATCTTTTATTTCTTATTTAACTCGTTTCGTCCCCCCCCCCCCCCCCCCCTGTGAGTTCTTTTTTCATGGTAATCAACAAATGAATTGTCTCATCTTAACAACTTTTTCTGACGCAATTGGCTGCATTGTGTGACCGGTGGGTCGATGCAATTGCATTATGGGATTGCATCATCTGCCAACCATGGTGTTAATAGATTTGTATTCCTCAAAGCTGCAGGCTAAATAAAGCTTTTAGTGTAATCTGATGTGGTGTGTTTCCTAGACCCACTGACCTCCACATGGTTTGTTGACATCTTCATCTGTGTGAGAATTCAGTCAAACTACACACTATTCTTATAATTCACAATATTCTTTATTGTCCCACAAGAGGAAATTTGCATTTCAGCAGGAGCACACAGAAGACAAGAAACACAAGGACAACATCATAGAATATAAACGAAAACAAATTTAAAAAAATCAGACAACACAACAAAATATAAAACCAAATAAAACATTGCAATAAAA